CTCCTTTACAGCTAGCCGTGAAGATTATATGTATGTACATATGTATGTAGATTATCCAATGAAATGTTGAAACATTAGAGCGCAAAATAGCTTTGCGATAATCACTTTCTTTTATAAAAATACCACCCTCATTCAAAACTTTGGCTACATTTTTATTATCAATTCACACACACACACATACATAGTCAGTTTGTTTTCACCGTTAATTCGCACTTTTTTCGTTCACTTGCTATTTAGGGTTTTCTTGTTTTCCTTTTTCGGCAAGCGAACACGGAACACGCGACCGGCAAAAGTTCAAAACGCGCGCACAGACAAAATATTTACAACTCTTGCAACACCCCCAAACGGGAAGACGACAAAATGATAACTAAATTCGTGTGGTGGCTGAAATACTGTGTGAGCCAGTAGCCGGTTTGTTTTGGTTCAAGTCAGAAAGAGTTTTTAGGGTGACCATACTTTTTTCGTAGTTTCGAAACCAAATTGAAAAATAAGGATATCACGCTGGCAGACAGATTTGGCCACTAGGAACATCCTTTAAGGACGCAAAGAGGAGGCCAAGCCCCGTTACTTTTATTATGCTAGAATGTCTTTAAGATGTCTGCAGGTCCGATATTTCCAATTTAATTTTCTCGCGAATTTGTTGAAAAAGCGCAATCTCAAGTGCTTCAATTGCTTTGAGTGGAGACCTGAACATCAGCAGCAAATGGCGCATCGATTGCTCCACCGACAAGTACTGTAGAGAGAACCTGTGATGATGTCGATAAGAACACTTTACTGCAGATTTGTACAACTTCAATATGTAGTTGGTCGGTAAGATTTCTTAGACCTTCCAGTTTCTAGTAAGCTCCTCTATATCCTATATCCTGCGACTGCATGTCGAGTATTGTCGCAACTTATTAGTAGCTCCAAAAATTACGCTTTCCATTTTTCGGTGAAAAATCCGGGACCGTGGGAACTTCGATTTGCACGACCGACAGGATTTTCTCCCGATTGTTTCAAATAAGTACTGAATTTTTGTACAGCTTTTGTAGAGAACTTAAATTGGTTTCAGACCCATAGTGTTGCCTGACTGCACGATGCTATAAGTAATCTCGATATCATGTCCTTCAAACGGGAAGCTGCCTGAGACCTTCGAAGTGCACAATGCTGTTCGAGAAGGCTACTTACCCTCGCCTCTTCTCTTCCTTTTTTGATTGGGGATATGTTGGATACTGCTTTGAGGGCCCTCCTCGACTGTGCACTTTGCTAAAGCTAAAGCGACAGGACAGCAAGTGTGCCAGCACAGGCTTGTAGTGTCATGACAGCCTCTGACCAAACACTTGGGGCCGGTTGCTCAAAGCTTGGTTGACCCTAATCATCGGTTAACATCGTTATCGACGTTACTGACTTCATGCATATAACACCGTGTCGGTAACGTTAACCAGAGTTGGTGAAAATGGCCCTTAATACTGTGAGGACCATATTTTTGGTGCGCAGTTGCTCTTGGTGGTGGCATGGACGAAGACATTGACCGCCGATTAGCCTTAGCGGATTTTGGTATGATGTTAACGTTATGGCGAAACAAAAAACTGAGTGCCAGTTTAAAGATCGGGGTTTTCAAGTCCAATGTGCTCCACTTGAAGGAAAGTCACTATTGCAATAACTAGGCGCCTGCAAGTGTTCGTAAAACAATCTCAAATGAGGAGCTTCTCAGAAACGCTAACATGGAGTCCCTTGACATCTGGATCCGGAGACAGAAGTCAATGTGGATAGTTCACACCTGGCGCACAGAAGACGGCAATATTGCACAGAAGGCCATGGAATGGAACGCCCTAATCGACAAAGGCAGTCCACCTGGCAGACCGCGTGAAACGTGGCGAAGAACAGTCGAGCGGTAGGCGAAGCAGCTCGGAAGGTAATCAAAGCGATTGCCAGAAACTAATTGAGTTTACGTTGACTTTGAATACCTCTGGTCACCCTAATCGTTTTGTTTTGGCCAATATTCATCGCTTTAAGGGTTGTTCTTGCTTTCGCAATAGTCACTTGAAAAAGGGGGTCTGTTGGACGCTATTACTTTCATACAGGGGTACTATCCACCCACCCTCACCACATACATACGTACATATGTATGTACATAATTTCCAACGCGACAGACTGAAACGTGACTCGGAAAGTAAAGAAATATCATAAGCTGATAAAATTTGTAGCAAAGCGACATCGAATGTTGGTAGTTGATGTTTTTTCTCCACATATTTAAATCTATACACTTACATACATAAATATAAATGGTTTTTTTTTAGCAACATTGTTTTCATACTTGGCATGTTGTGGGGTTATTTACATCTTAAGTTTGCGTGTGCCGCGTGCATTTTAACCACAATCAGATCTACAAACTTATGTAGTACATATGTACATATGCATTTATGTACGTAGATATAAGTATATATGTATGTATGTATAAGACATTATAAAAATGTTTACATCTATATATGTCCCTGTTTTACCCCATGCACACATACATACGTATACATAAATATCTCATTTAGTCCTTATTCGCTTTGTGATGCTTGCATTGTAATTTAATGTTAATGGCTTTCTTAATGACGGAATTCCTTTGTTGAATAAGTTACAGTACCAGGTTGATCGAGCTTTGCCCGAAGTGTATATATTTTTAAAAGTTTAAGGGCCGTTTGCACCATGTCTAGTTAACGCTAACTGGAGGTACATCCTTCAGTTAAGCACATCCACTGCTTTATCGTTCACATGTTATATGATGGGTGACGATAACGTCGATAAAGATGTTTAACTGGGAGTTAGAATTAACTAGACATGGTGCAAACGGCCCTTAAAGATTTGGATAACTTTAAAAAAATATTTTAGAAATAAAAAAAAATGATTTCGATATCAATATCTGTTAAGTAAAATTGTTACCCCAAAATTTTAGGTGGCAACCTTATTCCGAAATACGCTGGAATGGATGGATGGATGGAATGCTGATTGAAATTAACAAAATAAAAATTTTTATTATGGTAACCCTGATCGAAGATATTTTCGGACCAAAGTTCTCAACGATACCTTTCGTTTGATATCCATATTGCAATGTTTTAGATAAATTGTGAAGAATCGAAAATTAGTGGCAATCTTAGACTATTGTCCCAAGGAATAACATTGTGTATATAGGGAAAGCATTGTTTAAGAACCTTCTCTTGGTACCCATAAATAGTAATATTTTACCTTTTTTTCTTAACAAAAAAATTAAATAAATATGCGATTCAAAAAAGGTGGCAACCGTATTAAAAATATTTTTGGATTAGGGATCTTTAAAATACCTTCCATTTGATACCCATATTATGGCATCCTTATACGAGTCTTCTCGGAGATATTGCATATTCAGATAACCTTAAAATCTAAATATTATCTCTGTACAAAATTTCATCAAAGTCGTTAAATGTTTAATTTAAACGGGCATTTTTGAGTTACAAAGTTTTAACTAATAGCTTATTGTCACCAAGTCTTAACTGCACTTTATGCCTATGGGAAAAGAGATTACAACTCGAAGAGCGTAATTGCTTATATTAAGTACAAACAAACGAAAGGAAAAAAGCAAAAATCAACCTTGCCGATCAGTGGTTAAACCTTGATGGAAATGGGCTATAGGACTAATTCCCAAAAAATTATGTCAAATTATTTTATTTGATATGAAAAAATGGACCTTACCTTATGAATAGCATAACGAAATATCCACTTTTCAGAAAGGTGCGTATGCAGTTAAGCCCGCTTAAGCACTTGCTTTAATAATTTACTTTGCCAGAATGGGTACTTAAACGATCGACTCCATAACATATCGTCCTGAGTGGAAAATCGGCGTATCTCAGCAGCCAGTTCGAAAACGACCTTCCCAGAGAGCAGATATTCCGATCTACCATAATTCGGAATTTTCTTAGGAATTAACTGTAGTTGATCCGGATTAAGTCCTGCAGCTAAAAGCTCAAACAGACGGCAGCGTTAATCCGGATTAACTCGGACTTAATCCGGATTAACTGCAGTATGTATGTACATACATATGCACTTCTGTGTTTTTTTACAAACCTTTTTGAATGGAACTTATTTGAATTGCAAATAAACATTCGTTTAATAAAGGAGAACCCGAACCAAGATATGTATATAGACGAAGCTCACGTTCCTCCGCTTGACCAAGACGAGATGAGAACAGTAATAAGGCGGATAAAAAACAACAAAGCCACTGGAGCAGACGGTTTACCGGCTGAGCATGTATGTACCTGCCCCTAAGCAGAATTTGAACCGCCCGAAAATTGGAATCTCAATGGAATTAGCCTTCGTAGTGTGGCATATATGTAAGGTCCTATCGACGATATTGGGTGAAAAACTGAAGCCCTTCTTTTGCACCTGCTCTCTGTTTTTGTATCAATACAAAGATCATTCCAATGTCGCCGCTTCAAATGTATTCCAATAGCCTCCCATTTTCACTGACTCTCTGATTAACATTGACACTGCTCAGCCGTGTCAAAAGTCAGGAGGTGATCATCGTCTTAGAAACGGGACATGATTACATTTTGCCGTTCTCTTCTAGCTATTGAAGTATTGATTTTGTGATACTTTGAGATCTTACTGGCTTAGCAGTGGAAACTATAGTCCATCAGAGAGAGATAGCTTCCTTATAGGTCACTTGCACTCTATGCTCCCCATATTTGTCCACCATTTGCATGCCACTTATTTTCGGCTACTGTCCAATTGACGCACCCTCTACAGTTCTAACTATTTTTCAAACATACAGTCCCAAAATCGGTTTCCGTTCAGCACTGTATGAGGAGCCAGAGGATTATGTCACTTTTCCAGTAGATGCACTGTGTGCAAAATATACCCACTTTTATTTAATTCAAATCGTAGAAAACCAGCAAGCTGAGCCGATTTTGAAAAATATGCCAAGTGAATTTCATAAATTTTCTCATTCGATCGATTTTCTCGAACTTGAATAACGTTTTTTAACTTTTTTTCAAAAAAAAAATTGTAACGTGCAAAAAATTTAAACTGTGTTGATTTGTATTGTAATTGCGAAATTTGTGGTAAAATCATACATATTTTACAAAAACTGAAAAAATTAAAAGACTAAGCAATTAAAAGACTCGCTGAACCAGCTGAGAACCATAGGCCAGCGGTGACGACGGATGCTGAGGTCCAATCGGCGAACAATTGAATAACAGCGTATAAAAATGAGCAAAACTACGAAAAGCACACATAATCAAAGCAACCAGAATAACGACGATAAGGAAGCTGGACAATATGACGAGATGTCGGACGAATTGACGGTTTCCAGCTCGGACACAGATGTTGTGCAAACGCGAAAATCACGCAAACTTCAGGTGAGGGCATTCATTGCCCCATGTTGGCTATGCATGTATTTTGGTTCAACGTTAATTTTTTTTCGTAATTCTGATCTTTCTGTTCACAGCCAACAGATGCCGCAGATCATGGGGAGGGTGGCATGTACGACCGAGGTGGTCGGCGACGGCGCCGCAGTGGTAGACGAAGTGGTAGTCGACGCAGACGTTCACGTTCACGTTCTCGCAGACGTCGCCGCCGCTAGATGCATTTTATTCCTGGCAGTTTACTTTTTTATTTTTTGGATAAATTTCGTGTGAAGAAAATTTGCATTTTTTCTGGTTGACCACTCATTGTGCGTTTTGCAAAATTTTGTATGCCTTCATGTAAATTTATTTGTGTGAAAATAAATTGCGAGTGATATTTTGCATATGTATGCGTATGTGTTCCATTTTTAATTGCGGTGATGACAATTTTTTTTTTGTTATTTTTCGGTTAGGGTGATTCACTGAGGCTTATTCTTGTTTTCATTCGAATCGAAAATCGTGAAATTTTCCTATCACTTTGTATACAAAAAATTCAAATTTTCGATTCGTACGAAAACAAGGATACACCTCACTGTAATGTTGCAGAAATTGCGCAGGAAAATGATTTTTTGGATTTCATTTGCTAGTGATGAGCAAAATTATGTTGCCCGAGCGCGTGATGTAGGCAGAGTCGCCTAAATTTTCTCTTAAAGCGTGATCCTCTTTCATAAAAGGTAACAGACTGTGTTCGGAAATGCATCAAACTAAATCATCAGTAGGCTAATTCCGGTTCTGTGGAAGTGTGAAGTGAAAACATTTTTCATCACTTCACATATCGCTAGCTTAGAGTGAAAATTTGCTAAGTCCATTTTTTATGAAAACTCATATTTTGATATAGGAGGCTAGAGAAATTGAATACGCATAGTTTCGAAAATTATAAAGGTACATACTTGTTTTATTTTTTCCTCTTCATAAGCAATAAAAGGAAAATTTGCTAAGTCCAAAAGAAGCACCACAAATCCGATAAGGCCAAAATAATACGACATCTTTTAATAAATATCGAATCCTTCTGATTCTTATGGAGTTTTGCTTTGCTTTAAACGCGCAAAATGTTTGATTCAAAGTCTTGCGAAATAGTTAAAGAAAATGGCTATAGGAAGATTTTTTCCTCTCCTGTAAAATTTTTAAAATGGGACTTAGCAACTTTTATTTCTAAGCTAGCGATATGTAAAAATACCATTCAAAAAGTTTTGTGGCTGTGAAAAAGAAAAGTTGGGTCTTCTTCTCAAAATCATCATCTTTGGATAAAGAATTGTCTTAAACTCACAATAATTTACCAAATAATTACTTGCCAGATGTTTATGGAATAGCCTTTAATGATCGGCATCAGTGGCCTCATAGTGCTGTAGGGGAGCTAAATATTGGAAAGAGATGAGATGTTTCGGCTAAAGTTGTCTACTGGCGCTATGAAACCGCCTACCAAGCCTATTATATTTTATGGAGCCCTAGTCTGGTGATACTCACTTGAGAAGTCTACATTAGCTAAGCAGTTGAATCGCGTACAACGGGCTGTCTTAATTGGTATTATTGGGACATTATAGAGCTATTTCAGGCAGAAGTAGCTGCTAACTATTAAGAAGGCGGTGGATGGGTGAATTACCACGACACTACCTTCATAGGTGCCCAGCGTTCGCAAGGTTAAGGTTGAAAAACACAGCCCCGCTGAGCTCTGGAGCATTGAGATTAGCCGAATTCGTAATTACATAATCGGCTCGAGAATGTGGCATCGAAATAGGACAATCTCACAACTGTCTAAGCTAGTCCCTTACTTCTGGACCTAACCTATCCACTTATTTCGGCATCCATCTTTTTATTACATGGAAAATACGTTGCCCTTCCCTCTTCAGCTCCCGGTTATACGAATAATCGTTACAATTTTCGATTCTAGATGTTTTCACCGATTTTAGTTTATTTCGATTATGTTTGAGCTATATTTGTTTGCATGAGTGTGTAATATCCCTGCAGGAAAAGCTACCAGTTTTTTTTTTTGAATCAGATTGCAACCAGTTTGCTTTGCAGTTCACCTAGTTCCTCTTTACGTATAATTTTTTCACAAAGATTTTTTTTATTAATTTACTGTTACACTTCTAGGAAAAAATCCCACCTTACAAATGTATTTAGAATTTCAGTTATTAGAATTAAGTGGTCTATGGAGGTACTCTAGGTCAAAATGATCTCAGAAGAATATTTAGTACTTGAAAATATCTTTTCAGGGATATATCACATTTTGAAATTGTATAACCCCAAACTTCTCTCTATATCAGCTGGCAAAAAGTCCGAGGGGTAATTGCAAACATACATATTTTCGCGACCCAGTCTAAGGCAGATAAATACATACATATGGATGTACATATGTACATACATACAGTGGCGGTCAAAAATGGATGAATGGTGTTTCGTTTTTAATATTTTTCAATATATATTTTTCAAGCTTAATTTTTTTAGAAAAATATGGTTCATGCTTTAACAGAAACTATATAAATCACACTTTCAAAGTTTGTGCGGAACTTAGAAAAATTCCACAAATTTTTATAAATCTCGAGCTTTTTAATCAGAATTTTTAGACATTTTTGGGTATGCAGTTAAGAAGTTTATAAAGTTCTAGTAAAATAAGTGCAAGTTTTGAGCTCTTAAAAAAACGCGTTGATTTTTAATCTTTTTTTTTTTTTGTTGACGGCGTTTTGCACCTTTTCCCATATAAATATGAATTTCTTGTGGAAGAATATGCGCAAGACCGTTTGCGAAAAAAATAAAAAAAGTCGACGCCAGTTTTCCTAAATTTCGCTATTTATAGGAAAAAAAACCGCAAAAGCCGTCAGAAAAAAAAATATCAAAAATCAATGCGATTTTATAGCCGCTCAAAACTTGCACTTATTTTACTAGGATTTTATAAGCTTTTTAACTGCATACCCAAAAAATGTCTAAAAACTTTGGTGAAAGAGCTCGAAATTTAGATACAACTTTTTGGAATTTTTTCAACTTCTGTATGAAGTTTGAAAGTGTGGATTATATAGTTTTTGTTAAAACAGGAACCATATTTTTATAAAAAAAAAAAATATACCTTGAAAAACATTGTAAATATTAAAAACAAAAGAGCATTCATCTATTTTTTCCCGCCACTGTGTATACATATATAGCAGACTCAAAGGAATTTAGAGCTCTGGTATAGGAACCCCATAGTAAGAGAACGCAAGTATCGTTCCCACGACAGTCGGGTCTACGTAACCGGAACGACCCAGATTTATATTTGGCCAAGGACTTTCACTCCAGCAACACTCCCCAAAAACTCTTTGGGGAACTTGTATTCTGCTACAACAACAACAACAATAGAACGCAAGTATTATTCATCCGCCGTTAGTCCTGACGAGCGCAATGGCCATGGACCGTTTCGATTCCTTCTCCGACGAACATCTGTAAAAATTATTCTCCTACCTTAACCCTGGCAACTAAGTGAGTGATAGTAGCACTAAAAGTTTCTCAAACACAACTACTGCATAAATTAAACAAATAAGAATAAGAAACAAGTCAAATGCCATGCGTACAACTACAACGAATGCTTTATGCTGAATATTTACATTATGATTGACATGGAAATAAGCAGAACAACTACATTTAATATGCGTTTCATACTTGATTATACATTGTATGTTATATTCTCGTTTGCAAATATGATATAAACTGGTATGAAATAAAATTTGTTTACATGACCTATTATGTAATGAATGAGAAATGCATGAATACATATACTATACATATATTAGAGTTATTTATTAAGCTAAGAACGCTACCTAAGGTAGTTAATTTTCCGGTTTTATTATTTTTATTATTTTTTTTTTTTTTTGCATTTCTTTCAGTGAGTAGTTAATCTCATGGGGTTTATAATGAAAAAATCTCGCCACCAAGCAAATTTGTTGTTCCTGTATGTTACTGATCTTTGCAATTATGAGTCATTAAAGATTTTTTTTTTTTCAAATTTGTTATCAAATAGCTTAATTCGAGCAAACATATTAATTTATGTACATTGCAGTGAACTATTCAGATTATAAAATCGTTTCTGTAAATCGATAATACACTGCCAACGCTGTTCATTTACTGTTGTATTTTCTTTCCTCGTTTTATTAGTAAGCTTAACCCTTGCTTTTCTTATCGCGACTTCTTTCTTACGTTAGAAATTTTACATTATTTAATAATTATGTAATTGTATCGTTTTTATGTATGTATGTATATAATTTAAATAAACAATAAATCTTTAAAAATAAACATTTCTTAAGAGGAAGCAGAGAACAAATTCATTGCTATTATGTGGGTGTGTGTGTGTGTTTGTATGCTCATTTGATTACTTAAACTCATCCTGCTTGTCTCGTTGCGAGTGCCATTTCGGATATTTGCGCATATGTACATATGTAATTCATCGTTGCTTTTACTCGCCTATTTATTGGTTTTCCTACTATTACCAATCGCATTTGGCATGTATTTAACACAAGTATGCTGCGGTGTTATATGCTCTGTCCGGATTTTTTTTTTAGCCATCGAGCAACCAATTTGGCCAATGTGTACACTTTTCGATAACTTTGCGCGCAATCAATTTTATATCCTCGTATGGTCTTGGATGTTCAATCAATTCAGTCAAGATTTCAATACCATGCTCTTGCTTCACCAGTTGACAATATTTTTCTGGATAGACCTGGAATTAAATAAATGAAGGAAAAAATGTTGGTGAGAACCGGAAAAAAATAAGTGTGAAAATTATACGAAATTTTTACACAGCTTAAGGGTGGAAAATCCAATCAAGTATTAGATACTTTATTTTTCGTAAATTAAAACACACCTGAGTCAAATTGGCTAAAGCCCAAACAGCCCAATGTTGGCATTGTGGTGTTTCATAACAGCGTACTAGCCCCAAAATCGGCTCGAAACTACGATAGTTAATATTCCGTTCACTTTTTATATCCCAGCGTTTGATAGCTTCCACCATGCGTATGAGTACGCTATCACGTGTGGGAGATTCAATTGTCCACGCGCCAGGTCCGTCTGATGCGATGTGTGCCAGCACGCCCGCAGCATTGTAGCTTACCTATTGAAAAGTAATACATAAATAAATCACATAGGTACGCAGTGTGCACAACTGACCTCAATTCCATCACTTGATGAATCTAATAGCTTGGCAAAAACTTCAATGAATTCTTGTGTCATAAGTTTTGGTCGTAGCCATTTTACTTCGGCAACATTACCTAAAAGGCCCATCATATTTCGCAGTAGTT